AAAGCAACAAGAAAAAAAATCAATGGCATACGAACTGGGTATTGAGAAAACATCAAGGCTATGGTCACTAGTGACAATTACAGATTTTCAGTTTTCATATATACATATGAACATGAACATGTATAGTGTAGGGATAAGCATGGCAGATTGAACTTTTAGGGAGGAGATGACGATATGAAGGGATTAACATATTATTTGATGCAATGTTTTTTGCACCGAAACAAACTCATAAGTTAATTCCTTTTTCCCAAGATCTCTTTGAAGTCCCCTCATATCATCACCTTCTTAATCTTAAAAGCTCAGTCTGCCTTGTCTATCACTACACTGTGTATATACATACATATACAGATGGAAACCTCAGATCTACAATCATCATTCATGACCATAGCCTTGATGCTTGCTCCTCAGTTTTTTCATAATATGCATGTCCCTACCATTAAATGATCAGTTCCTTGAAGACTTAGTATATGTCCTATTAACCTTTAATATACCACACTCCTAGCCTATGATCTTAGACATGGTCGATCCATCATAAATTTTGAAATAAATAAATCTGGGAGTGTGGATGGGAAGAATGGATGTGATGGGAAATGCAAGCCAGGGATACAGGCATTTTGCAGTTGAACTATTCAGTATTGAGAAAAATGTCATGGGCTCAAGTACTAATGGCAGAAAAAAGAGAAAAGAAGCTCAAATATAAAGTCATTAGCAGGTTGAAGTTTGATTGATGAATGCATTATTCCCCTGCTAGCCTCATGGGAACAGGTCTAAGACTAAAAAGTAAGAAATCTTGTGATAGGAAATAGCACCCAGATATTTAGCTGACTCTGCCCCGTTTTCCTTTTTAATTTCTGCATGATTTCTCAAATGCCATGACCCTATAGAAACACTAGGTGAGAATAACCTTTCCATCAGATCAACTACCATGTAGAAATACCAATTTCTAGCCCACATCAGATCCAGAAAGAAAAGAAAAAAGGCTTAAAGTTTTGCAAGGACAATTTTACGTTTGACATCAAAGAAAAAAGAGTGCTCTATTACATGTGGCTTGATGCTAAAGGAAGGTGCTCTGCTCTCACCCCAAGAAAGTACAGATTTCAGGACCAGAGAGATTCTCTGTCCTGTCACTCATCATTCACTTCCTAATCTGATTTCCAGGCAGGCCTCAGGTCCTCCTTTTAATCATTGGGTAATATAGGACTTCATTCCACAGGTGCAGTGACCTTTGCATATTCTGCTTTGGTCTCTCTTCCTGGCAGGAGGGAACTTCTTTAGCTGAACCCCAAAGATTCCCTCTCCTGGATGTAAAACCAAGATGCATCTTACAGTCTGTTCTTTAGAAGTGTCATCTGAATTCTTTGGTAACTCTGAGGTCCCAGTTCTCTGTTTCTCCACCTTTCTATTTATGTCACCCAGAATGGGTCACTTAACTTCTTTATGCTTCAGTTTTTTTAGGCATTAAGTGAGCGTAACAATAGTACCGACTCAGGATTGTTCTAAAGATCAAGTGGATTAGCACTGCAAACTTTTTAGAGCAATGCCCACACTAATAATTCTCAGTTGTGTTATGTATTCTTGTTATCCCTCCATTGTGTCATCTATTTCCTCAAAAACGGTCATAGTCCAGCTCATAGACAGACTCTTACTTTAAGGCAGCCCAGATTCTCGCTCTGTTTTTGGTTTTTATCTATATTTTTCAGGGACCCACTAGTGCCATTTTTACCAAGTGATTCTCAATACTTCTGCAAAGGCTGGAACAGATTCCTATCCCATCCCTAGTAAAACAAAACAAAACAAAGCAAAACAAAAATACATTTGTTTTTGTCTGTGTTTGTCTTAGATCATTTTCAGATTAAAGAAAAAAAAAAAAAAAACAGTGTCCTCAGCTCATTGATAAATTACATGCATTGCATTCTACCAATATAAAGCCACCAAGAGAAAGTCTAAGTTCTCACTGCTGCCTCCTAAAGACACCAATTTCACCTCCTGAAGAGCATTGGATGAAACTACCATGGAGCGGAAGAACCACAGTGGGAGAGTGAGTGAGTTTGTGCTGCTGGGCTTCCCAGCTCCCGGGCCACTGCAGGCACTGTTGTTTGCCCTTTTGCTGCTGGCCTATGTGTTGGTGCTGACTGAGAACACTCTCATTATTGTGGCAATTAGGAACCACCCTACCCTGCACAAACCCATGTATTTCTTTCTGGCTAATATGTCCTTCCTGGAGATCTGGTATGTTACTGTCACTATTCCTAAGATGCTTGCTGGCTTCATTGGGCCCAAACAGGGTCAAGGACAGCTCATCTCATTCGAGGGTTGCATGACTCAGCTCTACTTTTTCCTGGGCCTGGGCTGCACTGAGTGTGTCCTTCTTGCAGTAATGGCTTATGATCGTTATGTGGCCATCTGCCATCCTCTCCACTACCCTGTCATTGTCAGTGGCCGGCTGTGTGTGCAGCTGGCCTCTGGCTCCTGGGCTGGTGGTTTTGGCATCTCCATGGTGAAAGTTCTCCTCATTTCGCGCCTCTCTTACTGTGGCCCCAACATCATCAACCACTTTTTCTGTGATGTCTCCCCCTTGCTCAACCTCTCGTGCACTGACATGTCCACAGCAGAGCTTACAGATTTTGTGCTGGCCATTTTCATCCTGCTGGGGCCACTTTCTGTCACTGGGGCCTCCTACATGGCCATCGCTGGTGCTGTGATGCGCATTCCCTCAGCTACTGGACGCCATAAAGCCTTTTCCACCTGCGCCTCTCACCTCACTGTTGTGATCATCTTCTATGCAGCCAGTATCTTCATCTATGCCCGGCCAAAGGCACTCTCAGCTTTTGACACCAACAAGCTTGTCTCTGTACTCTACGCGGTCATTGTACCATTGCTCAATCCCATCATTTACTGTTTGCGCAACCAGGAGGTCAAACGTGCCCTGCGCCGTACTCTGCACCTGCTCGAGGGCCAGGAAGCTAACCCTGGGAAGGCTAGCAGAGATGTGTAGAGGGGAGGTATGAAATCTGATAAATGCTACTAAACTTGGGATCGGTGACTTCCGAAAGTCCAGTGGAGTTCTTCGGGCTTCAATTAGGAGTTAGAGTTTCAAAGGTATTACCAAGAAATGGAATACATCCTTTGTAACTAGTCCAGGAGGAAGAAGAAGGATGGACTGTAAACAGAAGCTGGACTTCTGCTTGTCAGGGCCATACTGTACAGGCTAGAGGTTGGTCTTTTATTGTCTGCTCTATTGTAATTTACATAGCCCAGGTTCTATTAAGGAAGCAGACTTCATTATGAAAAAGCAATAGGAGGCTTCTTGATGAGATCTTTCCTAGCCATAGGCCCTTGACTATAGCCATGAGTTACCAGAAACCTAGCAAGTGATAATTCTAGTGTGACTTAAAAGACCAGGAGGTTAAAGAACAAAGAATTTTTGTGTTGACATTGTATCACTTCCTGGGCCACAGGGCTTTCTAGTTTCATTTTCTAATTTACTGAGGTCAGTGTCCACATTTAATTAGTGGCAGAGAACTGTCCTTTCTTTAATCCTCTGCTTCCCTAATTAGACTCTAAGCACCACTGATACAGGATCACATCTGCTTATACATTATTTTGTGACTGTGACCCAGAACAGTATTTAACCCATGATGACTATGAACAAATACAATAAGTAAATATAATTTGGAGCCATGGAGACAAGGCATGTGTGTTACTCCAATAGATGCAGCTGGCAGGTGCAGGACCAAACCCCTCATACTTCACTAGGGTACACAGAAATATAAATCGGCTCAGCCTTGTTGGAAGGAAAGTTGGTGATATGTATTACAAACCCTAAAAATATTGGGAACATTCTGATTTGGAAATATTTGTGTAGGCATTTTTACTTAGGATAACAAAAACATGGAAATACACTTAACATCGACAATAGGACATTAGTTAAATAACTGCTTATGTGTTAAATGGAATACTATGGAGACATGAAAACAAAATGATCTAAATACAGTTAATGATGGAAAGGAGCCTGAATTAGTAAATAAAAGGGTTAATCTATGTCACAGTATCAAGTGTATCAGCTTTATTTGTTTGCTTGTTTATTTAAACCAGGCCTAGAAGGAATTGGACCCGAATGTTGGCTGTAGCTATGTGATGGACTTCTCACACTCATAAACTGCATTTTGTGGCACAGCATTATTGCCAACGTGTTTATTTAAATAACGTTTTCTTCCCAATAAGAGACCTATGACTTATCTTGGAAGAGAGATGGTTAGAGGATATGTCACTATGATTTTGGGAATTTTAGCTCTCAGCTATTATCTAAGGCCCAGAACTGTAATGATAATGAAGCTTCTGTCTTCAGATGTGGGATCCAGCTGTTGCTGCCTGTCTTTTTAGAGTTGCCTGTTGTTTAATAAAGTGTGTGAAAGGCTCCTTGCAAGGATATGGGACATTATTTGCTAGACTATACTTATTAGAAAATTATACATTATATTTGTGCCAAACAGTTATAGAATCTGTAATTCTTTTGTCATAAAAATCATCAAGAATGACTGAATATAAAGGTCACCAAAAATCTACCCTGGGATGGTCCCCGTAAAATAAGTTTCTATAATGGGATAGAAATCTGGGATGTGAATGTCCTTGTCTGGACTTGCTCTTATAGTTATTATGTGAACTTCCCTAACAGTTACTAGGAAGTAAAGACACTAAATGCAAAGGAAAGAAGGGGAATATATCTATATCATCTCTATCTCTATCTCTATCTCTATCTCTATCTCTGTCTCTGTCTCTATATCTATATCTATCTATCTATCTATCTATCTATCTATCTATCTATCTATCTATATACACGCATTTATTTATTTATTTATTATTTATTTATTTTTTGGAGAGGTTTTTCGCTATAGGGCATGTGCACTCGCCAGACAGACAGAGAGAGACATAGAGACAGAAAGCGAGAAATCACCCCCTGGGGGGGATGGTCACACCGCAATCCCTTCTCCTCCATTCTCCTCTCAGGATCTTGGGCACGCACGCACACGCGCCTGGCGTGAGTTTTAAGCCACCGGGTCCGGGACGCGAACCGCGATTGACTACATGGGCGTCCAGCGACATAGCCACTATGCTAACTGCTGGTTCCCACACACATATATTTAAAAACAAACGTGGAGAACTATTTTTTAAAAGGAAGTAAAAATATGGTGCTACATTTTTTCCCTTGTGCTTTTCATTATTTCTTAAGATTTTTATGATAAAATTTATTACTTTTTTAAGTGAAGAAAAACCCCTCTGATTCTGAATTCAAAATCTGAAACCAAACATTCCAGGTACAGAAACAGTGTTCAGCACAGTGTCCTGCATATGTATTCCTTTCAATAGACATCAAATGAGAGGAAGCGGCACCCACGTGAACTGTGGTGAAATTGACACCTCTCTTAACTGGACTCAGCTCTCAAGTGATACGGCCTTCATACTCATACTAAATTTGAGGTCATGAAATCTCCTGAGATTTTTAAAATTAAGTATTATCTGTCAGATTAAGTATTCACCACTTTCCATGAATGTAACTGATTGCTTCCCCTACACCAAAAGGTAGGGCTTTATTTTATCCCTGTCCCATTTGAGCCTGTTTGTTTCAGACCATCTTTAGAGTCTACTAATCTTTCAAAAACTTACTTAGATAATGTGATCTTTAATAATTTCCTTTTGCGAGGGCAGCGTCTGGGAAGTCTCTAGCTTCTGTGTCAGTATAAGAGCTAGGAGTACTGGGTTACTCAGAAAGGAGTGATATTCAGAGTAACCAGGCAAGTGAGGATTAATACAGATAGACATCTATCTCTGCTCAGAATCCCTGTTCGAAATAATTGATGGTTCCCAGCAACTGAATAAACTTTAAATTTCTGTACCTGCCTTTCAAATGCCTCCACAATATATTCTTAATGGTCTTTATTTTAATCTCTTGCCCACAAATGTTGTACAAATGAATTTTAGGCCATAATTAATAGTATTTTCCTTTTTTCAAAAAAATTATTTTATTTAACTTTATTTATTTATTTTAGTTTGACCTGAGTGAAAGAAAGAGAGAGAAGGAAAGTAAGAAAGCAACCAAGTGACTGTGGAAATAGAACCGCAGTGGGCCATGTGGGAGTCCAGTGCCCTTAACCACCATGCCACCTGCTGGCCTCAATATTATTTTACTTAACATTGCAATTAATTTCTTAACATTCATAGTGTCTTTTACTGTTTGGTAACATTTCTTTTTCTTTTTTCTTTTTGCAAGAGGTCATGTACTCACCAGAGAAACAGAGAGACAGAGGGGAAGAGAAGAAATGGAGAGTGAGCATGCTACAATCCCTTTTCCTCTATTTCTCCCTCCTTTTGGGATTTTAGGCATGCACCAACTTTTACCCAGCGTGTTTCTCAACCTTCAGGATCTGGGACTCAAACTGCATGATCAGCCATGTGGGAACGGCTATTTTAAACACGAGGCCATGCAGTCAGCTCAAACAAACAAACAAACAAACAGATAAATGATAACATTTCATACTGGCTGGAATCAGGAAATATAAACTCTTCTGCATGAAGAGGTTTTTTCTTTTTGTTTTGTTTTAGTAGGTGCATGCACTCACTGGAGATAGAGAAAGAAATCACTTCCTGGGTTGATGGCCATGCCACAATCCCTTCTCCTTCTCTCTCTTTCTAGGATCTTGGGCATGTATGCACACACACCTGGCATGATTTTCAGCTGGATCCAGGACTCAAACTGTGATGTTGGTTATGTGGAATTCAGCTGCCTTAACCTTCATGCCACCTGCTGGCCAGGAGGAAAAGTATTTTAAAAATTATAATCATGTATTAATCTCATAGCCCAGTGGTTAAAGGAATCACATTCCACATGGCCAATAGTGGTTCAAGTTCTAGCTCAAGAGACATGAAGAACATGCCCATGTACATATGCTTGCATGCCCCAAAATCCCAACAGGATGGAGAACAGGAGGAGAAGGGATTGAGGTGTGACCACATCTCATTAGAGGGCTCTTTCCCCTCCTCATCCTCTGTCTCTTTCTGGCAAATACATGTGCCCTCAGACAGTCTGTCTCTTTCTGGCAAATACATGTGTCCTCAGGCAATAAATGAATAAATAGAAAGTATTCTGCAGCTCTGAAAACTCTATTTTTTTAAATTAAAAAAACCCTTAAAATTGTGAAATATAAATAGACTAAGGAATGTCAGATTAGAGGAGATTGACAAGATAAGTTATCTATGCAGTATGGTGTATGGAGAGGATCCAGGAACTTAAAAAGGATACAAATGACAATAAATGGTAAGGTCTGAATAGTTAACAGTAATGTATCAATTTCCGTTTCTTAGTTTTGACAAATGTACATGGCAAAAAGACATGATTATATTAAGGGAAACAAACTGGGTAAGGGGTAAACAAAAGCTCTCTTTAGTACTTTTGCAATTTTTCTGTAAATTTAACATTATTTCAAAATAAAAAGTTGATGTAAAAAAGAAACATATTAGTGCTTTTGTAACATAATTTAACGGAAATGTTAAATTATATATTTATATATTTCAGTGGCTTCCATTTTAATAAAGGTATTCTGTCCCTTCCTTTTCAGTACAGCGAAGTACTTTATCCTTTTCAGTATAGCGAGGTGTACTGTAAACACTTTGTTATTTTGTGAAGACCTCTTTTGAATTTTTACCTGGATTTTAAATGATTAATGATGTTCATGAATCAATGCTGCTTTGATTCAGTTGAACGATAAAGAGGAGTTAAGTATAACTGACACATAGTTACAGCTTTATACACTCAACAATTCTGAAAAATTATGCCAGTTTTCCCAATATCGTCATTTGATTCTGACAAGAATAAACAGTTCTGTGCCTTAGGTAGAGAAGACATGGCCTATAATCTGCATTTTTGTGGAGGGAGGTATTATTCCTCAAGGGACAATTGCCTTTCCTGATTTTAATGTTCCATAGTCTCATTTCACAAAG